GAGAATTAGTTAAAATTATCTTTCCTTTATCAGATACATTCTATTAACACCGAATTTCCTTGGGCAAATAAAAAACACATTATACCACTCAAGAATAATATGGCATAGAACAGTTGGTGATCTGAAGAGGAGAATGGCTAATAGAGATCTGTACCATCACAGCGGAAACCCTTTGGAGAGATATGAGAAAGAATTTTAAATATTTTTTTAATTTTAGAAAGTTAATGCACATGCTATAAGCTATGTAACATTTCCTGCAGGCCTGGGGCAAAATTCCATAACCAAACACATGAATATTTTTCTATAGCACAATGTATGAAATTTTACAATAGGTGCATAAAGAGTTTTAAATAGCTCCTGGCCAATTCTGACCAGATTTTGTAGGCAAAGGTGATCAGCTCAGTTTTCTGAGCTTTCTGCATTTCAGGATTGCAGACAAATTATGGCACCTAGATAAAGAGAGCATGCCAGTATTGAAGTAATACAGAAATGCAATACTCATTTGGTGCTGTTTGGGCATATATTCTAGCAAGCAACAGACATGGTGACCACTGGCCGGTTCAGGAGACTGTGGGGATAGAGACAAATAATAGAAAAAAGGCAAGGGCCAAAAAAGGGAGACAAAGAAGATCCAGGAAGCCCCTGGGGAGGCAGCTTGGCAAAGATAGGAGGCAATCAGAGACAGGAATACTTGAGGAAGGGGCAAATCGAGGGATTGATGTCTTCCAAAGTGGAAATGAAAAGGCAGATGTGACCAGTCAGGATGGAGCAGGTGTGAGTTACGGAGAATGGGATGCAGCCAGGACAAAGGCTTAGCTGGAGCTGATGGGAACTCAGAGCAAGAGAGTTGAAGAACAGATTCAAGGAGAGCAGAGGGGAGATTTCAGAGATGAGAACACCAGGAAGACAAGGTTGGGGTTAGGAGAGTGAGACAGAAATGGAGGGAAGACAGGCTGGGAGAGTAGCTGAGACAGATGTCTGCAAAGGCGAGGAGGAGAGGATAAAGAACGATGGGAAGAGAAAGCACAAAGAGGAAGACAGCAGGGAGGGGATGGGCAAGAGAGGGGAGAGGCTTGAACAGGAGCAAACGGGCCAGAGTCAAACAGTGGGAAGGGGGAGGATAGGAAAGGAGAACTTTATTAATCACATTGAACATATTGTAAAGGCTTTTTACTTTGTAATAAAGTTAAACTTTTCAATCGCAATTCCTACTTTTTTTAAATTTTGAGACGGAGTCTCGTTCTGTCTGTCGCCTAGGCTGGAGTGCAGTGGCACAGTCTCGGCTCACTGCAACCTCTGCCTCCCAGGTTCAAGCGATCTTCCTGCCTCACCCTCCCAGGTAGCTAGGACCATAGGTGTGCACCACTCTACCTGCCTAATTTTTTTGTATTTTTAGTAGAGATGGGATTTCACCGTGGTTCCCAAGCTGATCTTGAACTTTTGACCTCAAGTGATTCACTCGCCTCCCAAAGTGCTGGGATTACAGGTGTGCACCACTGCATGGCCTCAATCTCAATTCTTTTTGTATCTTAAAACACTCAAAAGTCTGTTTATCACATGACTGTTGAATCAGCTGTTTTATTTTGGCTTCGGGGCACTTTTCTGATAACATTTACTTTCAATGTTAACTTAATTTTTAAAAATACATACAAAACATCTGGAAGTACAGGTGAGCAAAGCCTATGAGAGGCTTGTTTTTTGTTTTTAGATAATTAGATCTCCAATTCCACTACAACTTCACATATGAAACAAGCACACTCACTTTACCCAATGAATGTAAAGTCATATATTCACCAAATAACTAAACCATGCTGTCTGGGCTCTTAAATAGATAAGTATTCCTAAAAATTCAGTGCAGTTTTTGTAGCATAACTATACAGAATCATTCTTTGTTAATGGAATTTTATTTGGGTTACTATATTCCAGAATAAAAATGTGCCTTTTTTTTTTTTTTTAAATCAACCTATTAGGAAGCAGCATCCCAATTTTGCCTTTAAAATTGACATGGCAGGCAATTTTGTCACTTCAAGTGAGAGGCCCTAAAACTCTTTGATTACATCTGGTCATATTTATTCACAGTAAGATGAACACACAAATAAGCATCTGTTGTGAGATGTATTTAGCTGGTGTCTTCAGAGATAACACATCTCTCAAGGTTTTAACTTCCCTGTTCCCGATCTTTTTCCTCCTCCCTCACAGTGGGCTCCATTCAGCCAGCAAGCAGGTCAGTCTTCAGAATGACTGGCTTGAAATGTAATTGATTTTCACAGCTATCCACAGCATGAACGTAAAGGTGTGAAATTAAAATTCAGATGAAAAAGCTTTTCTCAAGTCAGAGTGGCATCCCTAATGAAGGCCCATCCCAGACGTGTCTTGAGCCTGGCCATTAGGGGGCAGTCAAACACTGCTTCCTTCCAAACACTGCTCAGGCCGAGTTTCGGATAACTGCATATTTTGGAGGTTAAGTAAATTACTTGAGTAAGTAGCAATTGGTAGTTACCAAGTAGCAGCTTCAATACTTCATGCTTCTAATTTCCTACATAAGCCCCTGTTTTTGATTTGTAATATTGTCCCTAATTTGTCCATTAAGAAATGTTTTTTAAAAAGTGGTTTGAAGCTGGTTATCAGAGACAGTGAATAAATTAATGATAAAATACACGTAATAGTAATAAGATACGTTATATGTTATGTGTAGTTATCTATTACTGCCTGTAGCTTAAGGCAGTCAATGTCACTCATTCTTTAGGCACTCCACAGAGTGATAATGGTCAGAGGAGAAAAGACAATCATGTAATTTCTAATTTTCTATTTTGTTTAGATCTGGCCTAAGAGTCTATCACAAATATTATGTAAATTAAAAAGACAACCTTTACTCTTAGTCAATTCTAAAGGAGCTTACTATGAAAAGCCTTACCATTTTAATCGTCCACAATTTTATTGTAAAAAGAAAAAATTTTACTAATTATATAGCAAATCCTATTATTTTTATAAGTAGGAGTAAGATGTCAAAGCATTGATTAATGTGTCTTGCTTTGAAAATAAATCATTTTAAACATAAAGGTTTAAATTAGCAGTCAAAAGTAATATAAAATTAGAAAATAAAAATTTCCAGAGAATTATAATTAATCCATAAAATATTTATTAAGTTGGTACTAGGAGTTTGAAATACGGCATTTACTTAAAAACACAGTCAAACAAAAATTATCTAATTGAATTTTTGTCTTAGTTTAAAGGATGCCTTTACATTATGGTAAATCACAAATGTTATTTTAGTAATAGATGTTTTTCATCTCATAAAAGGTTTAAGCAAAATCAACTAAATGCATTGTCATGAGTAAAGGCAAAAGTATTCTAAAACTGGTTAACTATGGTTATAGTTCTACATATTAAATAACTTTTTAAGGGCACAGATGATCTCTATGACATGTCTTAAATCCAAGAAACTACTTCGTAGCTGTATATTCTTAAAATCATATAAAATTGAATATTCAAATGTGGATAGAACATGAATTTCTAAAGTAGGACCTTAAATCAAAGAAATAGACTGCTTGCTACAACTGTATTGCATGCATGATGAGTTCATATATTGTTTCCCCATAGTTAATACTTAGCTTTTCATGTAAGAGATATTAAAATATAAACTAAAAGTCATGCTAGGTGTGTGGAGATATGTATTTTTAAATACCTGAAGTTTTAGTATTATTTTAAATTCAAAATAAAATTGAGATATTTTAAGTCTTTTAAAAATCTTTTGTTTGTTAGAAGTTTTAAAATAATACCTGATAAGTATTGCCTTTGATTTCAAGATTTAAAATATTCACTAGGAATCCACTTAAGAAAATCGAATATTTAAAAATCCTGAAACAAATTTCTTAGAAAATAAAAATAATTTCAAATTTTAACCTTTATTCTCAGAGGCTTATCAAAATTCTTTAAGAAAAAATACAAATTAAAATAGAAACATTTTTGGATAATAAGCCCCAGCAAACCTTGGGTATAATTAATAGGGAATAGGCTGACAAGAAGTCTTTTTCTTTAAAACCAAGTAAAGATTTAGGTTTTATTTTTTGGTCAGCTTTACAATGAAAATATTACTGACTTAAAAATTAAGAGTTTGACTAAAATAAAAATGTCCACAAATTAAAAACAAAAGAAAATTATCTAACTAAATACACTTTTATGGATTTTTAATAACTTTATTTTAGACAGGTTTACTTTTAGAGACGGATACTGGTTTTTAGATCTGCCTGTAGCTTTGGAGTTCCCAGTTTAATTATGTTAACACAAGATAGTTACTAACAATTACATGAATTTTATGGACATATTTTGGACTTAAAATTGATAGTTACTAACAATTACATGAATTTTATGGACAGGTTGAAATTCCACAAAACACAATTTTAGTTTATTAATTTGTCATACTTTTTAAAACCAATCCTAAAAATGTTTTCTACATTTTAACTGATATACTTTTATTGATATTACTAACAATTACATGAATTTTATGGACAGGTTGAAATTCCACAAAACACAATTTTAGTTTATTAATTTGTCATACTTTTTAAAACCAATCCTAAAAATGTTTTCTATATTTTAACTGATACACTTTTATTGATATTACTAACAATTACATGAATTTTATGGACAGGTTGAAATTCCACAGAACACAATTTTAGTTTATTAATTTGTCATACTTTTTAAAACCAATCCTAAAAATGTTTTCTACATGTTAATTGATAGTGTCAACATCTTTTTGGAAATATTTTATTTACAGCTTTACTAACATACAAAACCATGTTTCCGTGAAAAATTTGTTGCATCTAAAAATTACTAGGCTGTATGGGACTACAAGCAATTAAAGATAGTAACAAATACAAGGCAAATTTGATGTCTGTTTTTTTAAACACCCCAATAAATGTATTACAGCTGCCATAGAACTAAATAGAAATGTAATTTTTTGGGAATTGCACTTATTTACAGCGAGAAAGTAGCAGCCTTACCTTTGACATTGATGAGAACGATGAAATGAAGTAGAAGGAACATTGCAATCAATCTGAGGCTGAAGAGATGTTTAAAACCAGAAAAATAATAATAAGTTTACAGCAATTGAGTTATTAGACGTATCCTCCTCATACCTCAGAAGGAGTTCTGATAGAGTAACTTGGGTGCCTCCCATGGTCTGAGCATGCTCACAGCTAGAACTTCACTGGCATGAGGGGAGACAAAGATTCTTGTCACTATGCAGGCTGTCTTTTTTGTTCTTTCTTTTTTGTTTCATTTTAGTTTAAATCTACAGTTGTGTTCTTGATCACTCACTCATTATGATGTGTAAAAGGAGGTATAATAGGACTGTGGTATTATTAGATAAAAAACATTTTTTAATCACCTAAAATATTTTTTCCTCCAAAGCATGTACAACAATTTGCTCTTGTTTAAATCCAAACATATATCGAAGTTCTTAAATATGAAGGAGATAGGCTTACACTGAATAGGCTATGAAACTCCTTACAAGTATATTTTCATGCAATAAACAAATGTCAAAAAGCTACTTATTGACAGATGCACAAAGAACCCCCCACTTCTATCCAAATGTACTTAAATGTTTTCAAATGACATACAAAAAGATAATAATTTAAATATATGGCCTTGTGTTAAATAATTACATTAAACATTCAAACAATATTTTCACTTCATATACCGCCCCCCCATAATCATATTCCTTTTTCTTAAAGTGGATAATTTTATTCTTGCTTCCAGCTCTGTTTTGCACACCTATTAAAACACTAATTTTAATTTAGTTCTTACATCCTGAAAGCAGCTTTCTCAACAGTATAGTTAGTGCAAGTTAAAGTATAGGAAGGGACTTTTGGTTATAGGAGTCTGTTGATCCTAGTGTAATCATTAAGACTTCTCCAAAAAGATGTAGAATTTCCATGTCTGAGTTTATATTTTACCAACAGTGAAATAACTATGTAGAATGTAGTTTGTAGCTCTGATTTGGAGAGAAGATTTTGTGACTGAATGATGCAGATTCTCTTACATGTTGTTAACTGTGTCCTAACAACACTGAAAAATTATCTTGTGGTAACTATTGTCATCACAAATCATAAAAGATGGGGGTTTCCTTGTCCTTTCTTTCATTCTAGCCTTTGATAGAATAAGGATTCAGACAGAGTTTAAAATAAAAAATACTTTACTTATCACATAATGTATTTGTGATAATGTAGTTCTTTTCTCTTTTTATGAAGTGAGTTAAATTCCGTAAGACACCTCCCAGATACATTTAGAGGTGGTCTCATCTGATCTTTCAAATCAAAAGAAAAAGCAGCAGAGAGAATGAAGATGAAAAGAAATACTTCAAGATCTTTTCTTACATTCAAGCATCTTTTTTTTCCCCCTAACGAACCTCTAGGTCTTTTTAGGTAAAAATTGCCTTACTTCACTTAAAGGAGTGATTAGTTTTTCTTATGTTTTATGTTTTGCTGCCAAGATGATGGATGCTAGTTTCTGGGACTGAAATTTTGAGCATGAGTTTTTAAGTGCAATTAAATACCGTGACTTGTCCATCATAAGTCTATTTGAAGTTTAGATATATTTTCTATGAAAATATAATTTTTGGAGAAATAAGAAATGTCAGGGTGTCAAAGAACTTAGTTTAGATTTCTTTATTACATCGAGCCCTAGCAATAGATTTATGTTGCCAAAAAGTTGAATTGTTATTCCTTTCTGTTAGGCTTTTCAATGTTAATCTTTGAAATATTAACATGAACATTCAGAAATCAATAGTTATAAATAATGGGAACATCTTTGGCTCACTGGTTTTAAAAGGTAGAGCATGCAAGCTTTGAAATACCATTTCATTTAATATGTTTTAACTTTGACTTATCTGGTGTGAACATCCAGCCTTTTGCCCTGAAACTGAAATGGTTGGAACATACACAGGGATCTAATGTATGTGTTTAAATAACAGTGAATGAATTTACTCTATTCTTAGAGCCACAATTGGTAAGGAGGCTCCAGAGAGTGCTTCATGCAGAGCTGAGATGAAAGACTTGTGCAAACTGAATTCTTACTGGATATTAACTTCGAATCTGCACAAGTGTATTTCATTGATCCTTGCCTGATCAGCTCACCCCTTCATTCCAGTCTCCTGTTGGTAGCACCCATACTTTCAGCAATAATACTATAAAAGCTCATTTGAATATATTATTTACTGTACAGCAAAATTCAATATAATTCTCCCTAATTTAAGGGAATTTATTTACTGTAAGTACTACCTACCTAGTTCTATGTGGTTGGGGGAGGGAGCAGGCATTTCTTAGCTTCTGCTGTGATTTTTATGTACATCTTGGAAACCATTATTAAATATACAGTTCTTAAATCAAGAACATAATTTGTTTACAAATGGTCAGAAACTCTAATTTTAACACATTTTCATAATTGTGTGATTGTTTTTCATATAGGCTATAATTCATTATCTTTCCAGATTAATGTTTTCAATTAAGATATTTACTAAACACTTACTCTACTTAATGAGAGTATGGCCTTGTAAATACTTCTCACTTCTAAGGTCTTTTCACTTTATATAGCCTCTTATTCACAAAACCTGATCCATTAGCTGTTAGTATCACTTTCTGTTTTGTGGGGAAAAAGGCAGTGATATTCAAGGAGGAAATTATATGAATAGATAAGATCTGTCCTCAAAATGATAAATTATAGAATAATAAACATCAGAATCCCAAGCTCACGAAAGCAGGTCAATGATGGCAACATTCACTTGAATAGTCTCCTTACCATAAATCAAGTTATAATAAAACCTTAGTAATTCAGACATACTAGCTAAGTGTTTGTGATTATAACTATAGATTAGCCTTTATACATGAGTTTATAGCATTGTTATTATTCAGTAAGATTTATTTGCACCCTGTGGGCAGAGCAAACTTAACAATCACATGATCTCATCAGCATAGTCAACATAGTGTGTCCAACAGTTGAGCCAACCAGTTCTGGCATAGGGTCCCTTTTGATCAAGGAAGTCTAAATTAAGCTTTTTATTTTTATTTATTTATTTATTTTTTTGAGTCAGAGTCATGTACAGCGGTACAATCATTGCTCACTGCAGCATCAACCTCCCAGGCCCAAACAATCCTTCTACCTCAGCCTCCTGAGTAGCTGAGATCACAGGTGTATGTGACCACACCCGCTAATTTTTTATTTTTATTTTTTGTATATATGGGGTCTCCCTATGTTGCCCAGTCTGGTCTTGAACTCCTGGGCTCAAACAATCCTCCCACTTCAGCCTTCCAAGGTGTTGGGATGACAAGCATAAGCCATCAGGCCTGGCCTTAAGTGTTCTTTGATATTCTAAGTTTAAAATAATTTAAGTCATGCTCCATTTGTCTGGGAATTTGAACTCTTGGCAAGCTCAACTATAAGGAGCACAGCCACAAACCCAGAGTAAAAAATATCCCTGAGACATCCACTACTGGCAGTATGGTAGATTAGATACGCTGAAAAGACTTCATGCTTGAAAATGCTGTAATAGCTCCTGCATAAAACAATTTTGTTGCATTTCTGGAGTCTTCAAAATAAGGGAATCAAGTCTAAAGGGAAAATACAGGACAAAAATAGAAACTAAATGCTGAAATGGCAATGGAGCACAGTAAACAAATGTAAAAGGCAAGACTGGCTTGCAAAAAAAATGCAGATATCAGCACTACAACTTTTAGGCTTTGAGTCAGTGGCCAAATTGGAGAGCTAAGCCAGAGCCTCCTTGAAGGGTCAGGCTGAAGACTAAGAAAGGTGGTGTCCTGTAGCACCATTGCAAAAAAAATGCAAACTCTGTAAGAAAAATAACCTTAATTTAAACCCCTCAAGTTTACCGAGGTTAAAATCAACTACATATTAGCTCATTATCAAAGATCAACCGAGGACACATGGGCAAAAGTTGACAGAAACAAAGCAATAAATTTTGAACCCCATGTACTTCAAATATTGAAATGATCAATTATGAAATATAAAATATTTAAAGACTGCAATCAGAAGAATAAGAAATAAGAAACCATCAAAACCTAACAAAGAATTTTCAGAAATGAAAAAATATGTTTCTAAAAATTTAAAACTCAATGGGTAGGGTAAAGAGCTGTCAATTTACATAATTGAGAAAATAAGTTGTAAGTGGAAATAAGGGAATGAAGAAATTTCCCAGAAGGCAGCATAGATAAACAGGGAATGAAAACAAAATTAAAATAAGAGATTGGAAGGAAAGCAGGAAAATTTTCAACATGCAGCTAATTATAGTCCCTATAGGAGAAAATAGAATGAAGAGGAGGTAATATCTGAGGAGATAATTATTGAGAATTTTCTAGAGCTGATAAAATACAAGAATTGTAGATACAGCAAGAACAATTTTACTAGGCAAGGCAAAAAAAAAATAAATCCATACTTAGACATTCAGTTTTGAAATTGTATAATATAAACCAGAGAGAAAAGACAGGTGACCTACAAAGGGAAAATGAGAATGTTAGCAGACTTGCCAATGACTTCAATGGAAGCCAGAAGAAGTATAGTAATGCTCACAGTTCTGAGAAAAAAACCCTGACAACTAAAGACTGTGTACCCCACAAAACTTTTAATGGGAGATCTTTTAATGGGAGCATAAAATAAAGTCATGCACAAGATATATGAATACTAAGAAGTTAAGTAAGAATCAAAATGAAAAATGCAGACCAAAAGTTTGATAGCGTTTCAGGGAAGGGAGCAATCTGAGTTGTGAAGGTCATTGGGTAAAACCTCAACTTTGTCCATCTTGATTGACAGACTGAGAGATTAGGAAATTGGGTCAACTCTTCTCCTGGTGTTACCAAGGCACACACACCAATGCAAGTCTGAAGGGTAGAAGGAAGTAACTGCGTGAAACTGAGAGTATCCTTGGATGCCTGTAATCCCAGCTACGCGGGAGGCTGAGGCAGGAGAATCACTTGAACCCAGGAGGCGGAGGTTGCAGTGAGCCAGGATTGAGCCATTGCACTCCCGCCTGGGCAATCAGAGTGAAATTCCTTATCAAAAAAAAAAAAAAAAAGAGAGAGAGAGAGAAACTGAGAGCACCCTGCCCATACACACAGGGTGGGGCCAGACCAAAAACTGAGTAGATACTCAAAAAA